TTGCTTTTATTGGAGTAAAGGATCTGAACTCTTCCTTCACCAATGGCAGATTATAATTTTTCCATCAATGGTCCCAGTTAAAAAATATATATTTTAATATTAATTTGTATTATTTAATCATTGAATTTGTGAGGAAAACACCTGTGACAAATTTATTATTTCAGTATTAGCATCTTATACAATAATAACAAGTCAAACATTAAAAAATATGAAATAATTCACTGACCTGAGAGACACAAGACACCCAGCAAGATCCTCTCCATTATTGTGCAGCTCTGTGGACTGTTCGTGTCACTTTAAACTACTAAGAAGATTTTTGCATTTTTTATGCAAAAAGCAGTGTGATGGCAGACTGACAGGAAAATGTTTGTCATCTTGTGTCTGTCATGGGAATGTTTATTTGATGTGTTCAGTTCACCTGAATTACAAAACACACATGTTGTCACTTATTTTGGGTGGTTTCTAAATAATTAAATAAATATTGTATATATTTATTATATAAATCTAATTAATTTGTCATTTAGCTAACGTTTTATCTAAAACAACTTAGGTCACACTCATCTGGAGCAAGTAGGGTTAAGTGACTAATTGACTACAAATACATGTGTCTCATCTGCTGTGCAATCGGCACTGCACAACAAATCTCAACAACATTTTGAACAACACCAAGACACAGCCCAACGACACAACATTAGATATAAAATAATACCCTACATACATTTCAAGTGACACAAAACATATTAAATTATGATAATCAAAAATATTGTAGGCTTTTAAGATGGGCTGACCAGGACAACAACACAAACTGACAAAATAATAAGCATAAGTCAGCACCAGCTTCCAGTGTTGGGCAAGCTACTTGGAAAATGTAGTGAGCTAAGCTACTTCTTACTCTGCATTAAATGAAGCTTCACTACACTGAAGCAACACCCCAGTGAAATGTAGCAAGTTAAGCTATAGTAACATGGCAAAAGTAGTTTACTACATTTAAGCTACTTCTGTTTATATTGAACCTACTTCATTCCACAGTAGCAAAAGAATAAAGACCTGCTGAGTGTGTGAGTGAGTGAGATATATCTAAATCAGACGTACTGGGAGAAATGCCCAAATGCAAAATCATTGCAGCAACATGTATTTCCAACATGTAACCAGTGGAAAATCCAAATAATTTAGAAAATAAATAATTGTGTTTGTTTGTATAAACTTGCTGTAATATTGCATTATTATTATTATTATTAGTAGTAGTAGTAGTAGTAGTAGTAGTTTGTTATTTTAATAATTGTTTTTTGGTAAATTTTGGTAAAATGCTACTGCTTGTCAAAAAGATAGACATAATTTCAGTGTAAGATATCTTTTGTATTTATTTTCTTATTTTCCCATGCTACATTTCCCCAAGCAATTCTGAGGCTACAGCTCAAGTCTGAAATACAACTGCTAAGGATCAATAAGTGACGTCACCGCCATAAAAGCCTCAGGTTCTCAGGCACTTATTGCAAAAGTCCTGTCACCGTAGGTCTTGAGCCGGGACCAGGGACGGACTGAGACAAAAATTCTGCCCTGGCACTGGAGCCACACTAGCCCACATTACCACGCACACGCATCTCCACCAACAAACACATGCATTTACTATTTACATTTTTAAAACGAGAAATAATATAAGCAGTGCCATATGTAACAGATAAACATTTAATGTATGTGACTTGCAAACAATGCTTACTACTTTAAAAAGAGCACACACTTGTAACAAATTTACACATGCAGTAGAAACTACTAATGTAGAGTTTAGTACAAACCCAAAGTACAATTTTATATGATATATATGTTTTCGGCAGCACGGTGGTGCGGTGGTTAGCACTGTCGCCTCACAGCAAGAAGGTCGTGGTTGCCCTGGCCTTTCTGTGTGGAGTTTGCATGTTCTCCCCGTGGGTTCTCTCTGGGTACTCCGGCTTCCTCCCACCATCCAAAGACATGCATGCAATTGGCAACTCTAGATTGTCCTTAGGTGTGAGTGGTTGTTCGTCTATGTGTGGCCCTGCGATGGACTGGGTGTCCAGGGTGTACCCCACCTTGCGCCCGATGTCAGCTGGGATTGGCTCCAGCCCCCCTGCGACCCTGTATGCAGGATAAGCGGTTGATGATGGATGGATGGATATATGTATATATGTTTTCTTCATACCTCCACCCCACTTTTCCCTGTCCCTGATGGCGTACAGTAGCATCCACAGCACTGGTACTTGAAGAACAGGGGTCTCTGGCTGTTTCTTCTTATATTCTCCTTCTATATTTTTGTAATCATTTGAGACACCCTGGACATTAAAGTGCTTACTATTATGCCGAAAAGTATTACTTTGTTAGTTTGTATGGTTATCTTGGTCAGCCCACTATAATAGCCTACTATGTTTTGTGATTGTCATTAAAAATACTTTGTGTCACTTGAAAGGCAGAGAAAATTTACAGTTTTTCTCAATTGTTTACACACAAATTCTGGTACTTGAGACACAATGACCACAACATGTAACTCATTCACCAACCCCCTGAACCAATTCTGCTAAACTACAAGCACAATTCCTGCTTTACACTGAAATTGCAGTTCTAAAACACACTTTTTTCAAAACACTACACACAATCCTCTGCTTTTGGCACAAGTTTCATGCAGAAAATATCTTGTTTTCACAAAGAACACACTGCCATTCAAATATGCACACAGACTCATCACAAATGCAAACACCCGTCACATAGTTTTCCAATTAGCAATCAGAGCTTTAGCATAAAAGGGAAACAGGTGAGCTCTTCAATGGAGCAATGGATGCCAACATTGGAAACAGAGGCAGAGCCGAGAGTGAGAGTGAGGAGAGTGAGAGTGAGAGTGAGAGTGAGAGTGAGAGTGAGAGTGAGAGTGAGAGAGGACGGCCAAGGACCGTAATCTCTGATGAGATCCATACCACTTTGGTTGATCATGTGGTCAACCATGGTCTAACAATGAGGGAGGCTGGGCAAAGAGTACAGCCAAATCTGAGCAGGTACACTGTAGCATCCATCATCCGGACTTTCTGAAATGAGAATAGGTAAGAAATCTACTCTCACTAGCAAATTGCAGTACTGCATATCAATACAGTACTCAATGAGTACAGTAGTACAGTATTGCCTGTGGACAGTTCTGTAGGACTGTAAAAATACTGTAAAGTATGTTTCAAGTATTTAGGAAATGTATACCTACTTTGTATTTAAGTATTTTACAATTTGTTTGGCAGAACTGAAAGATTACCAACACAAGGTGGTCGGGGACTTCTTCTGTCTCCTGAACAGGAAACTGAAATCATAAACATGGTCCTAGAAAACAACGCCATAACATTACAGCACAATACAAAGAAAAATAATAGAAAACAATGACATATTTCAAAATATTGATAGGGTAAGCTTATCAACACTGGACCGTGTCTTGCGCAGAAATCATCTCAGGATGAAGCAGGTCTACAGGGTGCCATTTGAACACAATTCAGAAAGAGTCAAAGAATTGCACACCACAATTGATGCATACACTCAACACTGTATACAGTAAATTATACATATTTCAATATTGTAATCATAATGATTGTGCTTCACAATAGTGACCACTCCATGTCTATTTCTGATATTCATGTGTGTTTCAGAGAGTCCTTGAGCTAGAGGCAAAAATGCAGGATATTTGCAATAATTCTGTTTTGAATGTGTTTTTCACAGTTTTGAACAAAGTGTGTTAGCATTTGCAAAATGTGCTGCAGATATATAGTGTTTTGCAGGTGGAGAAGTTTATAATAAAGTAAAACTTTATTGTTGTTTGGTATCCTTACGTGGAGCATGTGTTTTGCTGTGAGACAGTTGTTTTATGGTGTTAGTGGACTGCATGTCGTTAGCTGCCGTGTTGTCGCTGTAGTACGAGAGAGGCTCGGGAGCGCGCACAGGGCTGAATCCGACCCGGAGTCCCCACATTAAAAGCAGAATAGTGGCTGATGCAAACAACGGGGAAAACAGGTGTGTGCTTCATTTCAATAAGGCAATGAAAACTTGATTAGTTTCATTGAAAAACTTACATATAGTCCCTTTAACCTCTAGTTGCTCCAGAGGTGCAGTCGCTTTAGATAAAAGTTGTCTTTTTTCAGCATGAGTAATAAATAAATTACTATTTTCAAATTTCATGAACCTAAGTCTCCATTTTTGGTTTCTCACCCTGTATGGAACCTCAATATGCTTTCTTTTGTTTGTCAAACAGAAATGGAAATCACCTTTTTGCACTCTGCCTTTGAATAACAAATAAAATATATTTGCATGGCTGCAAGTTCCTTACTCTGACTATGTGTTGATGAACTGGCTTTGTGCCCATGTCCATCAGAATCACGAATGGTTGATTTACTCATTCATCTATGTGTGTATGTATTTGTTGATGATGTAATTATTGATTTATTCTATTTATTTATCTATCTATTTTTAACACAATCCTTTTTAATGTTTATCACCTATTTATCATGTATTTATGGTGATTTGCAAGCTTTACTTGTTGATTGCTGGTATGTGACGTGTGTGTGGTATATTGTGTAGTGCTGTGTTTCTGCGAATGTTAGCTGAAGGTTTTAGAGTTAAATTGAGTTTGTAATTCCCTTGTGCTACATAGCAGACAATATACATTACACTGTAATCCCAGTTGTACTAGCTCATAACTAATGAGGTCATTACAGTCAAATGTCCTTATGCAGTTGACCAAACTATAAAGTATTGAGCTCTGTTGAGATTTATGCCACTTTAATTGAATAGGGCTCAAAATTTGATAGCTAATTTCAGTGGAACACTCAAAAAGTTTAGGAACCATACAGTTGTGTCATGACGTTATTGACGTCAGGACGTTTGGTGGGTGGGTCTTATCTCTCCCTCAGGAAAGCTGAATCAGCCATCTTGAATTTGCCTTCATGCAGTGAAGTTTTCATGGAAGTTTTGGAAAGCCCCCACAGTTTAATTTGTTTTTATTTGTTTGCAATGCGCACTTTTATCCCCTCGCTTCAAACCACCACCTCAGTTTTTTTCATCATCATTGGCCTGCCTTTTTTTCAGCGCTGTCTTATTATCAGCCCTGATTTGGTAAGTAACTCTAATGTTTTTTAATTGAATTTCGATAAATAGTCTTACATTTGGAACTGGGAATACATGTGTACAATGTGCACAGTGAATATTTGTTGTAAATAGTTTACAAATCCAAGTAATTGTAACTTTAGAAGTTGTTGAATCTGACTTACAACGGTGTAAAGTTATCAGCGGGTTTCCTGGAAGAACTACATTTCCCATAATGCATGTTTTCCCGGGAGATGACGTGGGGGAACGACCATGAGTTTGAACTGTCTCGTGGAGTCTGAAACGTTCTTTATGTCTATGGTCCGAAAGCATAACGTTAACTTATCCCTGCTTCCCGGTTTCTGCCGGTTGTTGTTTTCGCTGTTCGCTGGTAATGCATGTGAGTAACGTTATACTTGTTTCAATAAGTGTCCGCGTTACATAGTCAATATTTTAAGTTGTCGAGCTGTGTGTTTGTGTGCAGCGTGAATCTAACAATGCTAAACAACATAATGTGAGTGTGTTATCATGATGCTAACAAGGTCTATGTGTGTATTTTTTTGTAAGCTCAAGTGTGTGGTTGTGAGATCATCATCTAGAAATCCTTTTTAAAAGTTCAGGTAGGATGTATTATGAAATAGTGTTATTAACAATTGGTTTTATTTTATGTGTCATTTCTTTAAATGTTTTTATCTCAACTGTGGGGTCCACAGTTGATCACTTGAACCCTTTATTAATACTTTGTTTAAAAAACAACAACAACGGAAATAGCATAAGCACACAACTTTGATGTTGTGCTTGTTAATAACTAACTTGCCAACTAACTTTTAACCTTTTCATTTTACTATAATTACTGTAGCCTACAATTAATGTTTTTCATAGATTTGGAAACTTTTTTTATCTGTAAATTCACTTTTTAAAATTTCATTTATCATTATGTATTATTTTAAAAATGTTTTTTTGAACATTAACTAATCATCTTTGTGTGCATGTTGTGTATAGATATTGGACTTCAAAGAGTGCTACGGAGAGTCAGCGTTTCACCATCAGACAGTTGGTGTCTGATAGGTGAGTTTTGTAAATTGTTTACTTTACATGATTCAGAAACAGATTATTTATAGATTATATTCAGACAACTATAAGAAACCATAGTGTGAATTGCCTGGACTGTGCCCTGAGGTTAAGTGATTATTCCATGAACAACATTGTCATCTCATCAGAGATTGACATCTTGACAAGATGTATTTTATCAGAAAGAGGTACCTTTAAAAGATACTTTCAGCTTCAATTTGAAGATGTCCAAATAACTATTGTTTTCGTGAAATTTTATTTTTTTTTCCTTTGTGTGTTATTAAAGTATTTACAATAGAAAGTAATTCATTTGAAAAATATTTAACTAAAGAAATGGTTAACCATAAATACTGAATCTACCATCTATAGCAATGACCACCATCAGAATATGGAGCCATTTAACACTTTTTTCTTTTCTTTTTATAAGTGTTTGCGCTGCATTTGTGTAATTACTATTGTAATGTCTATTTTTTGTCCATCTAGGAACAACGTGATGTAAATATGAGACGGGATCTCGTCCTTCGTGCACTTCCTTGGTACCTGCGTGAAGATGCCTCCAAGTTCTTCAGGACCTGTAATGTAAGTGTACTGGCCTCACTATCAATCCCTTTGCCTAGCTATTCAGTCAGCTTAAACATATGACATCACTCCAAAAACTATAGGAGAACCAGGCGGGTATTTCAGAAAGCAGGTTATGTGAACCCTGAGATGAGGGAAACTCTTGAGTTATCCAAAACAGAATTTTGATTCATTTAGATGAGCTCTTACTTCGGCCGCACAGTGAATATCAGACTACACGTCATTGCTGACGTGCTCTCAGATCAGAACAATCGTCTTTTTTTTAGCTTTTTTTTTATCACTTTGCAGGTTTAATCAATCACCTTCCAGCAGCCAGAAAAAGATAAATAACTAATAATACTATAATATTTAGAGTTGAATTACCTAACTCAGATCAGCTGTTCTGGAACTGAAAACTCAGGGTAAGTCAACTCAGAGTTCAGGGTTAGGCTTAGAGTTTGTTGAACCTCCCTTCTGGAATAACCCCCAGGACCTGTTTACGAAGTTCACTTGAGTTGTTATTCTCAAGTAAACTGTTATTCTCAAGTTATTATAAATGAAAAGGTAAGTATAAAGCATTCCACAAAAAGTATACTAACAGATGGTGTAAAACTAACATAAGATATAAGCATATGTAAAGAAAATAGTTTAAACATGTAGCTTAGTTGCAGTCTAAGTGCCAGTAATGTTTAGAGATCATTAGCATAATTTGTATTCAGGGGCTGAACTCATTCTTGTATTACTTGTGTTTATAGTCAGGAGATGGTCCAGACCTCACTGACACTCCAGTGGCTCTCCTGACAGTCGTAACGGATAACACTACTGATGCGGCCCTCTTCAGCCCTGAGAGCATCTGTATTGTCGTGGAGGATGAAATACTTGCGAGTGGTTCCACAAATCTGGCTGACTCATTTCTCCTGCTCTTTGGGTACGTCTATGCACTAGACCTACAGTACCCAAAGAATCTCGAGCATTTACATTTATACAAAAAGTTGTAATGTGTCTTGAGGACAACATTATAACTACTACTGACGCTGAAGAATGATTTGTTCAATGAGTGAATCACTCAGAATGGACTATTTCTTGAGCTGAGTATTGAGGACGTTTGTTGTTTTTGCCTCAGATTTAAGATGAGACTGTTTGCCTCTTCTACCTCAGACTTGATTCATTGATTGTTAATGGATAAATATCAAAACATTGACGTATTGCCCAGCCCATGTTTTTGCACAATTACTTGTTGGAAACGACTGTTCAATCCAATGCACTATACATGTTTAATGTTCTGTTACATAATGACTACCTTGATGTTGTCAGTTTAATGGCAACAGCTGAACTTTGAGTTTTAAAATAAAACAAAATGAGTTGCATCCTTCAAGGTACAGTAAGTGCCAAAAGGTTGTTAAACAGTATTGAAAGATCACGCGGTCATATGAGACGCAGGCATCTTTTAACCGTATACATAGGTTAAAATACGGTTGAAAGATGCCTGTGTCTCATGTGACCTTGTTATTTGTACACACTGATTATACAAATCACAACATATAAATAGGAAAATGTTGGCGTTATTTTGTCACTTATTGGGAGAAGTATGCTATCTGGAGCCATTTACTTCCAGTCTTTGTGCTAAGCTAGGGTAGTGTTGTGTGCGTCAGACAGTTACGGCACGCACGGACATGAAATGGGTATGTGTGGACTTATCTAACTCTGGGTGATATGGTAAAGTCACAAAAAGTCAGCGTGTTCCTTTAAATGGCTCCACATTCTAATAGTTTATTGCTGTTGAGGATGGATAATACTTAGAATCTTATATCATTTTATCATGAATCCCTTGTGAGTTTTTATCATAATGTTTACTGAAAGAATGTGAGATGGAGACCCAAAATACTGAATCTACCCTCTGTAGCAATGACCACTATCAGAATATAGAACTATTAACACTTAATGTACTTTAAAACACTTTATTTCCTTTTATTTTAATTCATGACAAGCACTTTGTGACTGATCTCCTTTGATTCTCGTGCCTTTTAAAAAGCACATTGTATAAAAAAAGTTGCTAAATTGTCACTGTGGTGTCACTTTCATCTTTTCTGACATTAGCTGATTATAATTGTGTAGTTGGCCAACATCAGTATTTTAGTATAGAATAAATTAAGTGCATATCCCACTTTGAGTAGAAAATTATAGGAAATTTAGTGCATTTCCTACAATTTTGAGTTTATTTCCAAAATTTTATGATTTGAAGACTATTGAAATTTTTGAGTGAATTACTCACTGATTTTAAGTTGAGGAATATCAATATTTATAAGATAACATTGAGATAATTTAAGGCAACAGTAAATATAATTTTTAATTTAAGTAAACTTAAAACTTTTAAAAATATCACTTAATATTTTTGTGTAATCTGTTACAAAATAATTTTTGAGTTCTGTGAACTTATTCGGGTTTACAGTGTAGTATAGAAGCAATTATAAAAAGGATAAACTGAAATAAACTTCATTCAATGGAGCAGTGCTGAAAATGAATTTGAGCTTAGGAGTCTGATAGCTTGGGGGAAAAAGCTACTGAAATGGGACCCTGAAAAAAAGCTGAGTAATGGGGACCCTGCCTCTGGAAGCTGTTGAATTTTCTGAATGCATACAAGAATACTCTCCTCATGCCTCCTGCATCAATACCACTATGTTGCTGATCATATGAAGTAGACTGAAGCTCAGACCTACTGCAGAGAGACATACACAGACCTGGCCACCATTGTTTGGTGGGATTTCCATTCATCTGTAATAATGGTAAGTTCCCAGCAAAGCATTTTCTCTGATAATGATAACTTTGAAGTTCAGTGTGTCACCTTGTCACAGTTCAGATCAACGACCCAGAAGCTGACAGGATGCCACAGGAGTCTATTCACAAAAACAGAGAGGAAGGTCAGTGCTGACGGTGCTGAGACTAACTAGGCAGAGCAGATGAGTGAAGCTGATGCCTGGGATCTGACTGGCAGACTGAGCCGAGGAATGTGAAGCTGGGAAGGAAAGCAGGTGGGCAGACAGGGCTGGTGAGTGGCTAGGGGAGCAGACAGGCAAACGGGCAGAGGGGCAGGTGAATCCGATTCCAGCACTCTTCTCATGGGTATGTTCCAGCTCTGGGTAGGTTGGGTAGGAGTTCCTAGACACAGAGTACACAGGTCAGAAACGGGCAGACAAAAACAGGTTCTATTTCGTATGGGCTTCGCCCTCTAAGGCTATTGCTATTGGATTTACCCCCACAAGCGCTTGCGCGGCACTGAGAAAGGTTGTCTACGCCCACCCACAGCGTGGGCCTCTCCTAGGTCCGCACAGTGGGATTTGGCACTGGGTTTATGCATGCTAACCTAAGCCCCTTTTGAGCCTTTGGAGACGGCGGACCTGGAGTTCCTTTCAGCGACCTTTCCTAAGTTTAGTTGAAGCTATGAGGTTTAAGCAGTCTAGTTTGAAAAGTGTGAGGTGGTGATGGTGCAATGGATAAGACTATGCCTTTGGTGTGAGAGACCTGGATACAATCCCCTACTGTGACCCTTATACCAATGTGTCCCTGAGCAAGACACTTGGTATTTGTCAGACTGCTGAAACCTCATAACATTTTCTTATGAACTTTACAATGTTCATCATCCTCAATCTCTAACAGTTGAGCTAGATTAGGAAAAGATCAGGAAGAGCCAGTATAGACAAAAGGAATCATTACAGCCACCAGTAACACTTAACAAATTGGCATGTGAGTGTTGTATCAAGGCAGAATAGGAAAAATATGAACCTATGCTTTCAGTTTGTGTGGGGCACCAATGGGCATACAGTGCATGACTTGCAACTTGTCTTTTAAAATTATCCTCATAATTGGATTGTTTGTATTTTGCAGTGCAAAGATGAACCAGATATTGCTGACATGCCTGTGGCTCTTCTCACTGTGGTCACTGAAAACAAATTTTCAACATAGGTTTTTGCTCAGTGTTCTTTTTTATATTGTTCCATTGCATCACCTGCTTATTTCAAACAAAATAAGTGCAGTTATGGAGAGAAATTATATATGGTCACTTCAGCTTTTTCCACAAAAATAAAGTGCAGGTAGTAAAAGAAAAGCTTGTTCAGCTTCAAGGACTTTGAGTAAGTTTGTTTTTACTGGAGTTTTAAGGAATCAGGCTTATTGTTGGTTTTAAAATAATCATACTGTGACATTTCATTTTTTATTCCTCATTTTATCGGCGCTGCTTCTGAGATTAGTTCTGCAACTAACAACTAACAATTTTATTATTGATTGATTGATTCAGTATGATGGACACAAGTTTCACTGTGACATATTTTGTTTCTGTGAAATATAGAAATGACAGGAGATGTTACAAGTTTTGATAATGATTGTTCAATAAAGAAAACTTGAATTGTAATAATGGAGTTCTATTTTTGAGAATTACTGAGCATTAGGGTTTACAGCAGGTTAAAAGATGGCCTAAAGTGTGCCATTGCAAGTATTTCTTTTTAATTGAAACGTTTTTCTTTTCTTTTTTTTGTAGGTTTTTTTTGTAGTAGTAGTACTTAATGTAACTAAGGCAATCAGTTGCCACAACTATTTTAAGTTTTGGGGTAAACTATTTGAGTTTCAGTCAATGTTTTTGAGTTAGTAGCATTTAAAAATACTGAACAAGAAACTAATAAATACTGAGTTTATTAATGTTAAGCATTGGCTTTTTATACTTAAAATGATTTATTTCTGTCGAAGGACTCTTTTTGAGATGCATTAACTATGAATATTTGAGTTATAATAATCAGTAATTTTGTCAAACAGTAATCAAAAAGTACATGTAACCCAAACACCAAAAATTTAGGCTCTGGAAACTTTTGATTTTATAAACTCCAAAGAATTGTGGCAACTGATTGCCTCGGTCTTTTTGAGTACTGCTTACTTATTCCAGTTTACAGTGTATGGGGAAACATATTTCAGCCAATCGTGTTCCATTGACGTAAGGGTCTGTTTTACTTCTACTGGGCTTGTGTGGTAGTAGTGAAGCATGCGTGGTAGAAGTATAACCAGTCGGGAAAAACACTTTTTAAACCTTATTTAGCAGAGTGGCAGGACTTGCCTATAAGGACTTTGGGGACAGAAAGGATGTTTAAGGCAGAGAGTTGAGGGGGGAGATGCGGTGTTTGATGTCGTTGCTGGGGCTGGTTGTCTGGTTGGTTAGTCAGGTTATAGCGTAAAGTGAGTTGGGTAAAGTTAGATTAGTTATGGAGAGGAATTAGCTGTATGATAGCCACTTCTGAGTTTGTCAAGGCTCTGCATATATATTGAACCTGCTTACATTTAGGATTCTAGCCCTTTTTTGTTATTTTGTTACAAAGGTTACTTTTGTGACCAAAGGTGCAATTGTCAAAAAATGCCAAGTAGTACCAGTTCAACAGTAAATATAAAATAAGAGCAAAATAATACATTTACAATAAGAGCTAACTTGACAGTTCAAGTGGTGTCCAGCAGCAAGATTAATATTTCACATATGAGTAAACAGTAAACAGTGTATTGCGCATTGCCACCATAATTACTGTTACATGCCAGAGAGGATATCATGCTGAGGCAATCTCAGAGTTCAGTAGATTTATGGCAGTTGGGAAGAAGCTTTTGTGTGTACTGACAGTAACTATCTACCATTGTTGTCTTTATAGGTTTCAGATGAGCTGATGGCAGCATCGTTGATGATGTGAAGCACCAATGTCCAGCTCTACAGAAGTCCCAGCTTCCAGTGTGGCTCTGCCAGCTCCCGCACCTTACACCATTTGTGTGCCTTTTGTTTTTACTCCACAACAACTGAACACTACCAATTTCAAATTATGACACGGGTTCCTATACATAGGTTCTGCAATTTGTAACATTTTAATATTGATGATTTCATTTTCATTTCTTGTGTATTAAGAATATATTTTTTTTAAATTAATCATCACACTCTTCATTGATCAGTTTCCTATGTTAATTGGAAATAGTGTGATATAAACATAACAAAATATGATAGTTAACAGCTGTATATTAAATTGTTAAGATGTTATTATAGGTTAACATTTTTCATAAATTTTAAAAAAATATGAAAAACTGATGGTATATACTGGTTTTATTTGGACATTTCTTAAAGAGACAAATGTGACATTCAATGAGAACTTACGCTCTGTTACGAAAAACAAAGAACTACCTGCACACACTGAATAGTTTTGAAGCCCCATAGGAGGACATTTATTGTGACCTCTGAGAAGGTCTTGTCAGTATTGCACATGTATACATGGATACATGTAAGCCACACTGTGGTGCACCTATTTACCACAGGTGCATTTGATTTTGCAATGTCACAATTAATGATACCACCTAGTTGGATTCATATTACTTGTTCTGTGTTTAAACTAGACTTATATCAGAGCAGCAAAGAAGGCACTCTTGAAAAACTATTCGGGCTCGGGTACTGGATGTAAGGCTCCTAATTTATCTATCTATTTAAGTATAATGTAGAGTGAAAATACTCCTGCACACACAGAAATACAATGCATAATTACTTTTCAACATTTTTGGGTGTCCTTTGAATTGACAGAAGGTGAAATCTTACATTTTCAGTCAGTTGTGATGACAAAGTAGTGTAAATACATATAGAATTTATTGCAATGTGAACCATAATTCATATATCATTTAAAAGGCCATGAAACGCAAATGTGGACAATATTTAAAACTTAATGTAAAAGTAAACAGAAGGAGAGAAGGCCTTTCCACTTCAGTCCCCAACAGATACAGATGCCCAGCACACTGAGAATGCTTCTCCAGGTCTGTGCAGCTCTCTGGGCACCAGGTCTCACACATGATCCACACTATGACTACGGGAAAATAAATGTGTAATAAATGCTTCAGGTAATGTAAAATGAAAAGTTAATTATAACAGATGGTTTAGTTTTTTTATGTGTTATTGTGTCACATGTTGGAGAAAATGCAAAGGAGGAATTTGTTTGTCAGGAGATTAATTAATTTAGTATGTAGCTATTTTTACAACA